TAGTTTGCAAGAGACTGCACAGTTAGGCCTACTCTTTAACTGGTGGTCTATATATATATATATATATATATATATATAAATATAACGCAATTCAGCCAAAAAATACAGAGATAGGATTTTTTTCGCCATATTAGCCAGCCCTACTGTTATGAACATCATAACAACCACCCAGAATACTATGGCAACCACCTAAAATACACTAGCAACACCAGAGCAAACCTAAGGTGTGTCCCAAATCACGTACTTATGCACTATTCTTTGACGTTTTGTAGTATAAATAGTGCGAGTAGTGCGTTCACACTGAAAATTCCAAAAAGAAAAAGTGCACTTTAAATACCCAGATGATGCAGTTACATAACTGAAAAAAACAAAGTGTGGAATGTTGGACACTTCATGCACTCAATTGTCGCAGCTTTAATTACGTAGCGAAGGGGGAGGGGCTATCAGACTCCGATTATGAATGACAAAATAACCTTATAAAATTCATACTCTACATGGTTGCATAAGTACATAGTGTGTAAGTGCATAGTGTATAGTGCGTCATTTGGGACGCAGCTCTAGTCTGCCTGTAATGACCATTGACTTTTGTTAAGCTAACATCACAGTTTCTCTTTTCTTTTTTAGTTCAAGTTTATATTCTTGTAAACATGTACTGATGTGAAAATAAGCGTTTGATGTTCAGCCAAGTGGTGAATCAGTCAATGTTCCTAATTGATAAGAGTCTTTTGTAAACCCACCCAACTAGAACTTTGGTACAGAGAGATAGTTGAAAGTCCTACGCACAATTCTCGCACACCCCACGTTCACTTGAATATGAATGAAAGCAATTGGACTGAAGTCTAGTGAGGCCTCCCCTCGAGCTGGTGAAATATTGACTCATTGACTCCTACAGATGGGTTAGTTTGAGTCACATGGAGGTCAGGGTTTGCTTAGGTTGAATCTGTGCCTTGGGCCTGGTCTTGAAGCTCTGCTAACAGCTTGGCCCGCCGTTCTGCACCTCCACCGGCGCAGCACGGAGCAAGTAGAGCTGAAACTCATTGCAGTGCATTAGGGCCACGAGACCCCCAGAACAAGTACTTTCCTCTTTAGTGACACCTCAAGGGCATCGGTCGAACTTTTTCCGCTTTGTCTGCTTCTGAGGGTCTTTGTCTTCACTCCTAAAGCTATCGGCTAACAGTGCTGGGACAAAAAAAAAAAAAGCCCTGCTGAATCTCCCACATATAGTGGATATTCACAGCGTTTGTGCTCAGCAAACATTCTAGTTTGGGTTTGTTTTCAACCTCTTTTCCTCAGTATTAAACTTCTGTCATTAATTCAAGCCTAGACTTTATTTTCTAGATCTATTCAGTCTTGAGAGTGCTTATGTATTTGGGTTTTGTAAACTTTATACTTTTTAGGAAAATTAAGGTTGAAATTTGAAACTTCTTTTGACATTGTTCACTATCGAAAATGATTGTGTTGATTGTGTTATCATGCAATTGTTCTTTGAACCTGCATTTATTTGCATACTGAATTATGATTGGTGTTCGATTGGCTGGGTTGTTGAATGAAAAATTGAGTGACATGGTTAACCAATTTATTAGTGGTCACACAATAAAATAAATGAGCATGCAAAATTATTACAAAATTATTTTAGAAGGAATATGGGCAACAGGATATGATGTCATGGTCCAGTGCTTTTGTTTTCAAAAAGAAATAAATTATACTCAATATTAATAAATTTAAAATGTAATAATATCATC